CCCCAAAACCCCAAAACCCCAAAACCCCAAAACCCCTACAGAAATATGGTTAGCAGATTGATGAAATGTAAATCAGTGTATAATAATTCTTATAATTACTAATGAGCGAAATTAAAGAATAGAAAAGTGATTAAAAGCCTTAGAAAGTCGAAAAACCAAGACTTATGATCACTAAGCCAAAAGAGGATATCGAGTTATTTACTCCAACATTGAGAAAGAAAACTTCTCCAGGCAAATTATTAGTCCAAGATTAAGCGATGGATGAAAATGAAAGACAAGCTTTTCTTGAGTAATAAATGGAGGCTTATAGATAGGAAAGGAAGCTTAAGAAAAGCAGTAAAAACTAGCATTAGCAGCAAGAGCAATCAATGTCAGATATACATATTGAAGAGCCAATTAAAATAGAAGTACCTGCATTGTACCGAGGGGACAGAGAACTCTTACATCTTAAATGAAGGCAAATAGAGAGAGAGCAAAAGAATATCAGGTATGACCAGCTTCCATCTATCAGTAGTGTTGATAGCAAAATAAAACAGTAAGAGGAGATGGCTAAGGCTGAATCGATTAAAACAGTACAATAAAAGAATAAATCAAAAAGTTAGCAACAGAAAAAGGAACCACCCAAAAAGAGGAACTTTAAAGTTTCAGATACAACTGAGATTTCAGATCAAATGCTAGGTATCTACACTGGTTTTATTAAGAAAAAACTGGGACTAGAGAAGAAGGTATCAAATAATGAGATGTATATATTCAAGTATCATACTTAGTTGCAAACTAAGAAGCAAAGAGCTTAAAGTCTAAATGATAAGCTGAAAGATACTCCAATGAAAAATAATAAGCTCTAGGCTTTGAATTAGCAAGATTATGGTGACTATACTAGAAACATTATGGATAAAAGATCTTTTGATTCTAACAAGAAAGTTAAATTCATTGATCCTAGCCAAGAAATAAAAAATCTGCTGGAAAAAAATGCAATCGTACCCTAGCATCAAGCCTCGAAGAGTGCTATGGATTCAATATATCAGAAAAATGATAGTTTTATGTAAAATCTTAACCAGCAGGTCATAATGAATTCTACCATGTCAACTGGAGTAGAAAATTTAAGTAGAAATTAAAGAAATACAAGATCAATCTTAAAGAATTATAAAACTGTTGAACAAGCAAATATGTAAATTCCTATGAATGCTAAACTGTAACCACTTTCTACTATGTTTAATTTCAATCCAAATGCTTCAGCTTTTAGCAGTTTATCTTAAGCTGTAGATTCAAGTAGATAGAATAGATAGACTTAATTTGGTAGTCTCAAAGATAATCTTAGAGGTAAAAGTAATAAATCTGAATTTCATAATAAATCATTCTTTGATAGAATGCCTAAAAGTTCTCTTAATCACCACAATGACTTTCTTGAGATATCTATAAAAGAATAATAATAGGATTTTAGTGACAACCAACCTTTGAGAACTTTTGATAGACAGCAGATAGAACTTAGGCAAAAACTAAGAAAAATAATTGATAGTTCAGAGGGAAGGTCCACAGTTATGGATGCAGTATCCTCTCACACCACAGATTTGCTAGAAAGCAATATTAATAGGCAATCTCCAGATTTTTTCCAAGGAATATTCTAGTCAGATGAATCAAATACAGTTAGAGTCGCGAATAGCAATTAATTTAGGAGATTAACAAAGCTATTTAACTAGTTTTATGACATAGAGAGGATCTATGATATTGAAGATCTCTCTGAGATTGAGAAATAAAAACTGGAGAAAAAAATGAAGCAAAAGTAAGAAGGTATCAAACTTATGCTAATGTCAGACATAAATAATGACTTTGGAAATAAAAAGGGAATGATTAATCAAACTAAGATGTTCAAACTCAACGATATGTAATTCTATGTAGAACATATTAACAAAATGCTTTTCAAGACTAAAGACCCTTGGCTTTACAAAAAATATCAGGCTTATCAAAAGCTGCTTGAGAATAAAAGACTTTAAAGCTTTGAAAATGAGCATGAAGACCCAGAGGAAACTCGTAAAAGAATATAAAACGAGAGGACAAATGTATTTCAAAGAATGAAAGCTGATTATGAGAATAAATCGAAGTAACCGACATAATAGCCTAATACTACAAACTTATCAAAATCAACTCTTCATCATTCCTCTGTGGGGACCTTTGGAGAAAAAAAGAATAGTGCTAGACAGGCTAATAATTTAGGAGTCTAATCTCAACTTAACAAATATGATTCTTAAACTTAGATATCTGAAGCTGCAGTTACACCTCAATTGATTAAATAAGTCAGTTTTGGAAAAAGTAAAATTCCTAAAGTGGACTAAGGTTTATAAGATGATGATGAAACCCTTTAAGCAAAGTTACCAAGGGTTGCTAATAAATCTAGTCCAAGAAATAAAAAGTCTTCAAATAAACTAGTAGAAGAAAATGGCGAGTCAGATACAATGCTATCTGACCATAGCTAGAGAAAAGAAAGAAGCAGAAACGATCTCTCATACTAGGATGCTGATAATTATAAAACTTAAGATAAGACTTCACAATCAAGATTTTTGCTGAAGATGAGCAAAATAAGGGAAGGTGATGTGATTGATGAAAAAATAAATGTACTAAGATAGCAAGTATTTTAGATTAAAAATTAAAGTGAGAATGTAGATACTCAAAGATCTTATAACTAGTTGAGTACAAGGCTAAAGTAGTCAAATCATCATTTATGAATGGGAATACACCACTAATATGTTGAAATCACTTAGAAATATTTAAGATAATCGAAAATGAGAAAAATTTATTCAATTAATTTCTTAATCTGATTTTATGATATGTGGGATAAGGGGTTTTGGGGTTTTGGGGTTTTGGGG